TTGATAAGTATATCGACTTTTGTCTCCAAACCCGACAACTCTTTCACACATTTGCGGACAGATTTGAGTGAAGACAAGTCCAGCGAAAGTAGTTTTATGTTTGCCTTTGGATTCAATGATAGGATGTCTTTGACGGCCGCCTCACCTTTCTTTTGGTCCCGACACCCGATGTATACCTATTGTTATATAAAAATCAAACTCATAGTAAAAACAACCAACATGAAATACAATTAAAATTAAATAAATAAAAAATATTAATTTTATCATAATACCTTAGCTTCTCGTAATGTGAGCTGATAGGCTGTCTCTTTACCGATACCAGTGTTACCGCCGGTCACCACAACTACCTGTCCATTAAGTTTCTTAGCACTGGTCACCCGTCGGCGCCAATCCATAAAGTTTGACACATATTCGCGTAACACTAAACATAATGTACGCAAAATTGTTGTAATTCTAATGTGATATAATATTCCCATTGTTTATATTATATCAAATAATTGCCTAATATAATATTAGTAGTGTATATGTAATATTACACTAGATTTTAATAGTTAATTAAACAGTAATAAACAATCTTATAATTGTAATAAAACATAAAAATTGAAATTCAATATTAAATGTTTTATTAATAATATTATGGTATTTATATGACCACAAAAAATTCTGTATTACATATGAAAGAGGTGTAGGAAATTGTATACACAATATTGCTATATCTATGTTATATATACTTTATTTTGTATACAAATACCGCACACGTGAAGGTCAAATACACTATAATTGCACTAAAAGATGGTCATGGAATTATAAAATAAGTTCAGTTATATTACTTATAAATGATATAATTATATAATAAATATAGCTATTGCCTTTACTATTGGTTATTGATTAAATATAGTAGGTAAGTATTAATTTAAACATTAATATGTTAGTTTAGTATATCATATCGTATAAAGTACAGTATTTGATATTAAAGTTTACCAGTCAACCATTATTTGTAATATGCAATATATTTAATATATAATTATTGCCATAACATTTTGACGTATAAAAGTCTTCAGTTGCTCTTAATAATGATGTTTATTACTTAACAGTAATCAGTGATTACTAATCACGTATGATTAACCAGTAAAATAACATTAACTCTATGTTAAAATATGATTATACGAAATTATTAATTTTAAAAAAATATGTAGTAGTTTTATATAATTTTTATAAAAATAATTTTTAAGTATGTTATTAAAAAATATAAATAATTTATATTATTTTTGCAATATAACAAATTCATATTTACAAAATCTTTAAATAATTTATCAAATTATGTAATAATTCTTAAATGGATATTAATACAACAAAGTTATTAAAATTTATTTAAGTTATTTAAAGTTCATTTTATTTATAACAAGTGAAAAATTATAACAAGAGCAAAATATAAATGTAATAAAATTAAATAACGTTGATGTTGTTTGTAACTTACATAATATACTGTAATATAATTTTGACAAAAACATCTGAAATAAAATACTTTATATAATTATAATTCGATGTATCAAAAATTTATAATTAAACTATTATAACAATATTATATTTTTGTAATTAAAAAATTTATTATCTAAACAATTACAAAACACATACATTTTAATACAATCAGGTAAATTAATATTTTTATAGTAATATTTAGAAAAATATCAATGCCAATTAATTAAAATAAATGACAATCTAAATTTTAAGATGTTTCTCGAGCTTAACTAAATCGCAACTTAATTCCCACAGACTTTTGGCAGTCTTGTCATCATATGCCTCGGGTATCATATAATCGTCGCGAAGACAATTGCTATTTTAAAAAATTAAACAAAAACATTATCAATAAATGTACCGTAATTTTAAATTTATAAACTAAAATTTACAAAACACAATAATTAAAATAATTACTTATAATAATATCCCGACTCATTTGCCAGTTCATCGTCGAGAGCGCAGTAGAGTGTAGTCTGAGATCCCATTAATGGTGTCATTAAAAAGTTACGCCTAAACCAACCCCTGTCTGTCTGACCCTTACCCTCGTGGAGCTCAGGGTTGTCCACGTGTCGGCTCAGGTTAGTGTTTATGACTCCCGGATGCAGTGAATAGGTGTTGATGTTTGAGTGTCGGAGCCTTTTGGCCAATTCACGGCTGAACAGTATGTTTGCCAGTTTGCTCTGTCCGTACGCATAAAAGTTATCGTATGCCCCGTTTCGTATGTTTATGTTATCAAGGTTGATTCGCCCAAACTTGTGTATTTCAGCCGATACATTTACTATACGAGCTGCCGGTGCTTTCTTTAGCAATGGTATTAAATGCAGTGTAAATAAGAAATGACCTAAAGTTTATACAATATATTGTTACAATTGTCAATGTTAATTCTTATTAAATATAATTATTTAACATACCTAGATGATTAGTGCCGAACTGCATTTCAAACCCGTCTTTAGTCTGCCATTCAGGACAACCCATAACTCCTGCGTTATTGATAAGTATATCGACTTTTGTCTCCAAACCCGACAACTCTTCCACACATTTGCGGACAGATTTGAGTGAAGACAAGTCCAGCGAAAGTAGTTTTATGTTTGCTTTCGGAGTCACTGATAGGATATCATTGACGGCTGTCTCGCCTTTCTTAGTGTCCCGACACAAGATATATACCTATTTGTTAAGTAAAAAATAAAATAATAAATTAACATGATACAATATAATATTATTTATTTATTTAATTAAGAACACAATTTAAGATAATACTTCATTAGATTTATAAATGAACAATCACATTAATTACGTTAATATTTAAATCTCAAATACCTTTGCATCTCTAATGGCGAGCTGATGGGCAGTCTCTTTACCGATACCAGTGTTACCGCCGGTCACCACAACTACCTGTCCATTAAGGTTTTTATTGCTAGTTACTTTACGCCGCCAACCAATGAAATTAGTAGAAAATTCATAAAACAATATATAAATGAATTGCCAAATGTGAATTAATTTGAAGTGGTATAATTTTCCCATTATTTTTTAAAATTATTTATTAGCAATTTTATTATCAATTTTATTGTTAACTAATATTACACTTGATTATTATGTTTAAACGCACAAAAAATATTACAAATAATTATTGAATTTTATAGCAATAAATGCTATGAAATTTATATAAATTCACAGAATATAAAGTAATATATAGTTTGTAAAAAGTCAACGCAATTCTGTTAATAATATTATCCAACATTTTCCTTATATACTTTACGTTACATAAGTGTGCACTTAACCCTTCGCGCGTTGGGTGTAAATGTAAACGTTACGTGTAGAGAGGCCTATAAATAGGCCAGCGTTTGACATGTTGGGTGGCCTAAAATTAGGCCAGCAAATAACGTGTAGGTTGGCCTAAAAATAGGCCAATATATAACTCATACAGTATTACTTATTTGAAAATATCACGTTCAGTATAACAACTATAATTTAACTTAAAATACAAAATTGTATGAAATCAACCGTTAGATAATAATTTTTTATAACTTATATTATTAATATATATTATAAATACTTACTTAATTATAGTAAAGTATGCGCCGATTGATTATAAATAACATTTTTAACAATAAATATGTTTGATATAACAAATAAAATAATGAATATCATCGTAATATGAAATGTTTTATATATTAAAAAATATAATTAATTTGAAATAAACAGTACAACAAATGATTGAAATTTTATTTATTCATTGTTTGTATAATCTTTACCATCACATGATGTGCAATAAATGATAGTGTGTTTGCCTTTGCAAATAAAATATTATTTTAAACGTGATTAAAACGAATTATTTAACATACCTAGGTGATTAGTGCCAAATTGCATTTCAAAACCGTCCTCAGTTGTCGGGTTTGGAGACAAAAGTCGATATACTTATCAATAACGCCGGCGTTGCCGGTTGTCCGGAGTGGCAAACTGAGGACGGTTTTGAAATGCAATTTGGCACTAATCACCTAGGTATGTTAAATAATTCGTTTTAATCACGTTTAAAATAATATTTATAACATGGCAGAAGTGCTCAGACATTTTTTGTAATAGACATTTTGACAATGATAAAAATATTATGATTTATAAAATCTATAACTACTCAATATAAAGTTTATATAACTCAATATAACTACTTTATATATCGCTTTTAACACTAAGGTCCCTAAACAATTACATAACAATACAATTAATATAAATTGTATAATAATTAAAAGGTTATTTGCTGTAATTTCAAGTGCCTGCTTTCGTTATATTACATATATGTATAAAATATAAATTAATGAGATTTTGTATAACAATTGAAATAATAAAATTTGTGTTATTTTCAGGTCATTTTCTATTTACACTGCATTTGATACCATTGCTAAGGAAAGCACCGGCTGGTCGTATAGTGACCGTTTCATCTGGTTTACATATTTGTAGCCCAATTCACCTTGATAATGTAAACCTCCGAAATGGTACCTATAATAGGTTTTTCGCTTACGCTCAGAGCAAACTCGCAAATGTGTTGTTCAGCCGTGAATTGGCCAAAAGGCTCCGCCACTCAAATATTAACACCTATTCACTGCATCCGGGAGTCATTAACACAGATCTGGACAGACATATGGCTGATGAGACCAAACGGGCCGAAAGGGGTTGGTTTAGACGTAACTTTCGCATAACACCATTCCTGGGCTCTCAGACCACACTCTACTGCGCTCTCGACGATGATATCGCTGATGAGACCGGATATTATTACGAGTAATTATTTTTTAAATTACAATTTTAAAACTAAATAATATGTTTGTATTTTAATTTTATAGCAACTGTCGTCGTGTGGATCATATGATACCCGAAGCCAATGACGACAAGACTGCCAAAAGTCTGTGGGAATTGAGCTGTGATTTAGTTAAGCTCGAACAGCATCTCAGAATATGATTATGGTGATTTATGTATAACTACTAAAAACAACTCAATCTATGTATTATTTTGTCAGTAAATTAATAGTGAAAATTGATAAATAAAATTAAACGAAATAACATAAAATAATTTTTATAAATAATTGTTTCTTATAATAATCTACTATATTTTCAAAATCATGCATATTATGTTCTAATGAACAACTTATTTACATTTTATTAATGCATAATTTCTAGAAAAATCTTTTACTTATTGAAACTAATAATCATGAATAAAATTAATATTAATAATCACATACACTATTAGCTGATAGACATGCAATCAAACAATACATAATAATATTATGGCAATAACCTATTATGTAATTAATACAACAAAAGGTATACATCGGGTGTCGGGATCAGAAGAAAGGCAAAGCGGCCGTCGAAAACATCCTATCATTGAATCCAAAGGCAAATATAAAACTACTTTCGCTGGACTTGTCTTCACTCACATCTGTCCGCAAATGTGTGGAAGAGTTGTCGGGTTTGGAGACAAAAGTCGATATATTTATCAATAACGCCGGACTCGGCGGGTGTCCGGAGTCGCAGACAGAGGACGGTTTTGAGATGCAAATTGGCACTAATTTCCCTAGGTATATTTAAATAACTAGATTTAAACATTATTATTAATAAGTTATTAATAATAACAATTAACTTTGCAAAATTCTGTAATTTACATATTATGCTTTCTTACAGTTCCGTCTCATAAATACAGACTTTGATATGCAATTCAATGGCAATTGTTTAGTGCTTATCATTATTATAGACAAGACTTGGGTGCGTTTTGGATGCATTATTCACGGGGAAAAGTAATTTTGTGTGGAAATAAAAATAAAATTGAATTGATTTTCTTAACTCAAATACACAATGCATTCAACAATATTTAATTAAAACATAATATAATAGTATATATTAAACATAGTCTCTATCAAAATTAAGATATTGTTGAATGCATTGTGTATTGGAGTAAAAAAAAATCAATTCAATTTTATTTTTATTTCCACACAAAATTATTTTTTCACGTGGATAATGCATCCAAAATGCACCCAAGTCTTGTCTATAATCATTATTATGTATACTACGGATGGTTTGAGAGAGAGACTTCGATTTATACCCTTATTCTACGTGTCCTTCATTTTAGTGCATAAGTTATATACAAATTGTGTACATATGTACTGTATTATGTACACAATTGCTGTAATAAATTCATAATACGTTTCTATCTGTATATTTAAGTATAAATATCATAGCATTTATCGCCCAAACACTCAACAATTTATGTCAATTTTTAGGTTTTCGTATTCCGTTTGACTAAAATATACAATAAAGTATAATATTAGTGAAAATAATTAATATAATACAGTATAAAATTATTAATAAGGAATTAATTAAAAATGGGATTTTTTAGTCATTTTAAATTAAAATACATTTGGCCTTTCATATGTGGTGTATTTTATGAATTTACTATTAATTTCATTGGTTGGCGTAATAAAGTGACCGGTAATAAGAAACTTAATGGACAGGTAGTTGTGGTTACCGGCGGTAACACTGGTATTGGAAAAGAGACTGCATATCAGCTCACACTTAGAGATGCAAAGGTATCAAACATTTAATTATTAATATTTATTTATTTTTTTATTTTAATACAGCACTTAAATAGCGTATTTATAATAATAGTTACAAATAAAAAAAATTATCGTTAAAGTCAATATGTTTATTATTTATATCAAAAAAGGTGTATATCTTGTGTCGGGACCAGAAGAAAGGAAAAGCGGCCGTAAAAGAAATCTTAGCATTGAATCCAAAGGCAAATATAAGACTACTGTCGCTGGACTTGTCTTCACTCAAATCTGTCCGCAAATGTGCGGAAGAGTTGTTGGGTTTGGAGACAAAAGTAGATATACTTATCAATAACGCGGGAGTTATGGCCTGTCCTGAGTGGCAGACGGAGGATGGGTTTGAGATGCAGTTTGGGACTAACCATCTAGGTATGTTAAATTATTGTTTTACTATTATGCAATGATAAGCTAAATATTCAATGCAAACCCAATTTAAAAGTTTTTAATTTTACATGTTATGTTAATCCTATGCCATCACTAAATATTAAAAAAAATAATATTATTACAATAAATTTAGTGAAATTACAATTTAATTGATAAATTACAGGTCATTTTCTATTCACTCTACATTTGATACCATTGCTAAAGAAAGCACCGGCGGGTCGTATAGTGAATGTCTCGTCGGGTGCCCACATTCATGGCCAAATTCATCTACAAAATATTAACCTACGAAACGGTGCATATCATAGCTATTTTGCGTACGCTCGGAGCAAACTCGCAAATGTGTTGTTCAGCCGTGAATTGGCCAAAAGGCTCCGACACTCAAACATCAACACCTATTCAATACATCCGGGAGTCATTCAAACAGAATTGGGCCGACATATGGCCGATGAGACCAAACCGGCCGAAAAGGGTTGGTTTGTACGTAACTTTACCCTGACACCATTTTTAGGCTCTCAGACCACACTCTACTGCGCTCTCGACGATGATATCGCTGATGAGACCGGATATTATTACGAGTAATTATTTTTATGTTATAATTAATTGTGTTATACAGTATTTTATAATATATAATTTTAGGATATTGGTAATTTTAAAAATTTAATTTATGTTTATTTTTTAATAGCAACTGTCGTCGTGTGGATCATATGATACCCGAAGCCACTGACGACAAGACTGCCAAAAGTCTGTGGGAATTGAGTTGTGATTTAGTTAAACTCGAGGAACATTTAAGAATTTGATCATTGTTCTCTAACTAAAAGTATCACAGTGAATTGATGTATAATAATAATGACATTTATAAATAATAAAAGATTGTATTGAAATGTATTAATTTTGTATTTAAAAATAAAATTGACAATTAGAATATGTTTTAGGTCAATGTTATAACTATAATTTACCGGGATATGAAGAAACCTTTACGCCATATTTACACTATTTTATAAGAAACACTTTTTAAAGGTTTAAAAAAGTGTTTTAATTTTGATGAAAATTTATTCGTGATTAAAACATTATTAAAAAATTAATTCTACAAAAATTGTTATTTAAAATCAAGAATATTTTAGAAATTTTCAATGATTTCAACGTATCTATGAATTGAAAGAAAAGTATTATACATATCAATATTTTAAAAATGTTTTTATTTAAAATTAATTTTAGTCATAATAAATAACGATTAAATTATAAAATGCATGAAATGAGCATGTTGCCCTTAAATTATTACAAGTTTCATGGCACATTACTGTACAATTTTAAAAGATCTTTCAAATGATATAAGGTTTTTACATTGATAGTGGTAATATTAGAACAACATGCTCATTTCGTACATTTTGTGATTTAATCGTGATTTTTTAATATCTAAAATCAATTTTTAAATAAAATATATTTTAAATAATTATTCTAACGAGTAAGTTAGTTTTAAATTATCGATCCGCTGGAATTTTGTAAATAACTTGTTTATCTCCCAAATTGATTTTGAATTTTGAGTCAACATTTTTGACATTAAAATATGTTTTTAGTTAAATAAATAATTTATACATTTTTTGTTATTGTATGCTGTATTCAATATATGTATTACACTGTATTGATTATTTTAATAACATCATGATTTTGTTTTTAATTCATGGCATTCAAAGTTTGTCATGTTGTTTGCTAACATATTAATAAATTGTAATAGTTATTTATAAAATTAGTCGCTAATATAAAGTTCATTTAACCAAACAATATCTACTTTTAATTTTAATTCCATCATAAATACATTAAATAATATAAAGTATATAAAATAATATAAATATTGAATACATTAACTTTACAACTCACTGACAATACTTTAGTGCATTTATAGTGCAAAAGTCCTAAATATAATCTAATGATTGAGAGTTTTTATACCGGTATTATACCGGTTAGTGTACGCGCCCTTCAATAGTGTAAAAATGAGTGGTTATTACAGACTATCGTAAAGTATATAAAAGCATATGAACTGTACTATTATTCACAAAACTTGAGAAAATTGTTGCAAAGTCTACGTACTGTATGTTCTGTGTATTCATTGAAGTATCATAACATTTATCTCTAGATTACACAATAATTTATTTCAATTTTTTGTTATTGCATAAAGTGAACATTTTTGTTTGATTATTGTTTAATCCAAGTTTAATATTAGGTTTAATCTAATATAATATATTTTATAAAACAATGGGTGTATTATACCATTTAAAATTAAAACATATTTGGCGAGCACTATTTATATTTCGACAATTTTTGTTTAATTTCATTGGTTGGCGTAATAAAGTGACCTGCAGTAAAAACCTTAATGGACAGGTAGTTGTGGTGACCGGCGGTAACACTGGTATCGGTAAAGAGACTGCATATCAGCTCACATTAAGAGATGCAAAGGTATGAGATAATAGTTTTAAAAATATATAATTAAGTAAATAATTTGCAAGTTTTAGTATAAATGCAATTTTTTATTACATAAGGTATACATCGGGTGTCGGGACCAGAAGAGAGGTGAGGCGGCCGTCAAAGACATCTTATCATTGAATCCAAAGGCAAACATAAAACTACTTTCGCTGGACTTGTCTTCACTCAAATCTGTCCGCAAATGTGTGGAAGAGTTGTCGGGTTTGGAGACAAAAGTCGATATACTTATCAATAACGCCGGAATCGCCGGTTGTCCGGAATGGAAAACCGAGGACGGGTTTGAAATGCAATTTGGAACTAATCACCTAGGTATGTTAACTTTTTATTGTTGTATAGTTATATAAACTTTTATACTATATTTATGATAGTCAATCATTCTTACAAATCAATATTTCTTTAACTCTATAATAATAATTAAAATAAAATATTTTAATTTTGTGTAATTTTAAATTTGTAAATATTTCTTAACTTCTAATAATAAATATTATTATTGTAGATTAATATATAAAAGGGGTATACTACCCGGTAAAGGGTATACTTTATATATATATATACTAACTAAAATATATTTAATGTCTATATTTTTTATAACATTTAGCCAAAAATAATTGTGTATGTTTACATACAGTATGTTTATTAAATTAATTATTTATTTGATATAATTAAATAATGTTAAATCTATAACTTTCAGGTCATTTTCTATTTACGCTTCATTTGATACCATTGCTAAGGAAAGCACCGGCGGGTCGTATAGTGACCGTATCATCAGATATACACGAGTTCGGGACAATTCACTTGGAAAATATAAACCTCCGAAATGGGACATATAATCCCATTTATGCTTACGCTCAGAGCAAACTCGCAAATGTGTTGTTCAGCCGTGAATTGGCCAAAAGGCTCCGACATTTAAACATCAACACCTATTCAGTGCATCCGGGAGTCATTAACACAGAACTGGACCGACATATGAGACCCGATGGGGCAAAACGCGAGGGCGTCAGCGGTTGGTTTAGGCGTAACCTTAACCTAACAGTATTCATGGGCTCTCAGACCACACTCTACTGCGCTCTCGACGATGATATCGCTGATGAGACCGGATATTATTACGAGTAATTATTTGTTTTTATAATTAATATGTTAGTTAATTCCCAGTTTATGCGATAAAATATATTGAAATTATTTTTACATTTATTGTTTTTATTTTGTTTTTCATAGAGATTGTGTTCGTGTGGATCATATGATACCCGAAGCCAATGACGACAAGACTGCCAAAAGTCTGTGGGAATTGAGCTGTGATTTAGTTAAACTTGAAGAGCATCTAAGAATATAATCATGGTTATTTATGTATAACTATTGTAGACATGATGATATTTAAAACTTCATTTATGTGTTATTTTCTTGGTTAATTAATATTCAAAATAGATAAATTAAATTAAAAGACATTAATTAATTTTATTTTTAAAAAATTAATATTGTTGCAAACATTTTTCAAATATATTTAATGCAAAATGTTTAAATAAATTTAATCTTTGACATTTTAAAATGATTATTAATTTTATTGATTGTAATACAGTAATAATAATATTGTAGTAATTTACACTTTGTGTAAAATAACTGCAAATTTAGTTGTTTAAATTTTATAAAAATAATACCGTGATCTAGAATAAATCATCTAGTATATTAAAATTATAAATAATTAACATTAGGTATAGAGTTAAGTAAACAATAATATAGTGGGAACTAATTACAAAAAATTTAATTAAATTTTTTATAGAATATTCTGGAAAGTGATGTTAAGTTATGTTGTAATGCATTGAAACAACATTATAATGATTTAATTACAAAAATAAAATGTCATATAAATGTAAAAATATCATTACTTTCACATTTTAAACTATTAAGCAAAATTAACGCTTAATTAATATTACAGTAACGGCGATATAAATATGTTTATTTTATTAAATAAGCATAAAATTAAAAACAATTTTAAAATCCGTTGTAACTAACAGTTTCTTAAGTAAAACCTCTTTTTGAATTTAAAAACTATATAAACAATATCTCAATAATTATTTTACACAAAATTATCATTTTTATAAGAGACATAACTTATGTCACATAAGATAAAAATTAGTTACAGTAACTTACAACTAATTCACTAAACAATGGGAATTTTATATCATTTAAAATTAAAATACATTTGGCGCTTAATATGTGTTATGTTTTATAATTTTACTACTAATTTCATTGGTTGGCGTAATAAAGTGACCAGTAGTAAAAACCTTAGTGGACAGGTAGTTGTGGTGACCGGCGGTAACAGAGGTCTTGGAAAAGAGACTGCATATCAGCTCACACTTAGAGATGCAAAGGTATTTGAAATTTAATTATTAATATTTCTTTATTAATCTTTATATAACACTTGATAAATAATAGCGTATTTATAATAATAGGTACAAATAAAAATATTTATCGTAAAACACAATTTTTTATTTGTTTATTGTTTATAACAAAAAAGGTGTATATCTTGTGTCGGGACCAGAAGAGAGGTGAGGCGGCCGTCAAAGCCATCCTATCATTGAATCCAAAGGCAAATATAAAACTACTTTCGCTGGACTTGTCTTCACTCAAATCTGTCCGCAAATGTGTGGAAGAGTTGTCGGGTTTGGAGACAAAAGTCGATATACTTATCAATA